ACGAGGGAACCGATAGAGATCTCTGTAACAGTATCAGTAAACAGTAGTTGCTAAGGATGCCACAGTACAGTTCAGAATATAGGACATACATTCGTTCAATTAACAGTAACAGTTCAGAAAGCAGTACAGTTCAGTTGTTCAGAAGATAATCATTTGAACATATCTTTACGCAGTTGTTACTCACAGAGTTCTGGGCTACAGTAAGCTAAAGCGTCTCCTCGGAAAGCTAACCCTACACAGTTTACAGATTAAACACACACTAAGCTACACAGTTGGGAAAGATAATAACTTAATCCCTAATTTGCCTCGGTGTGTTCTACATCTATATCCTCATTAAGATGTCTTAAACTAGGCCTAAGAATGCCTAGGATGAGATGAGGATGCAAAGATGCACTTGAAAAAGCATTTTCAGACTTTTCAGAAAACAGGGGTCACGCTCAAGCGTAGGTTACTCTGCTCGAGCGGACATGCAGACAAAAGTTTCCGCTCGAGCGTATACTTACCCGCTCGAGCGTTCTGCAAAACAGTCAAAAGTGTTGGATGGGTGAAAATCACGCTCGATTGGGCGCTCGACACCCGCTCGAGCATGAGACAGAATGTCCCGCTCGAGCGGACTTCAAAATAGAACAAAATGCTGGGAGCACGATTTCCACGCTCGAGCGCCAGTCACCCCGCTCGAGCGTGAGTCCAAATTCTGGAAATTCCAGATTTGAACCTCAAGCTCAAAACCAAGTTTTAAACCATAAATTTCGATCCTCTTGGGCCAATTTTCTAGAAAACACATCAAAACTCATACTTTAACATGATTCAAAGCTCAATTTGTAAAATCAAAGCCCAAGGGTGTTTCAAATGAATCCAATTCAAACCAATTTCCATGAATATGAAGGACATGCAAACATGCATGGATTAAAACCATTTCAAAGCTTCAATTTGATGCTCTAAGGAGCCAGTTGTTCCAAAAACAAGATGAAAACATGGACTTAACATAACCATGAGCATGCATGAGACAATTCTCCGTGGAATTAACTCAAAATTCAACAATTCAAACATGCATGCATGAAATGAAGCCAATTCAACATTAATGAACCAATTCTTGACTTAACTCCTTAAACTACCATGATCCATGCTAGAAGGAACTTAAATACACAATAAGGAGGATGAAATTCATACCTAGGTTCCTCAATTACAAGTCTAGTGGCTCAATTATGCACTTAAGCTTTCAATTCCTCAAGATTCAAGCCAAATGTGAAGAACTCAAGCTTTCACTACCTCTCTCTCTCTCAAGTCGGCAAGAACAAGGAAAAAGGGCTGATGAAGTGTGCTATATGGTCAAGTGTGAGGCTCAAGTGGTTAGATGATAGGCCACTTAAGTGGCAAAACTGTAAATAAGTGTAACGATGCAATTTAACTCATTTTAATCTAATTTAATCATACCAAATCAGTTATCAGATAAATATGCCATAAATTCACATTAATTCTAACGATCATAGGACATCAATCAATTTCAGATTCGGCCGCCGATAAGGCCTTCCATTCACAATTTAAACACAAAGACACGAACAGATAATTAAATAACCAAACAGATAGAATTACAATTAAACAGGTATTCTCAGTCAATTCAGTTTCAATTTCAGTCAGTCAGTTCAGTAGTTTATTCAGTTCACTTATCAGTCATAATCAGTTTCAGTTCACTTATCAGTCATAATCAGTTTCAGTTTAACGGAAATCAGTGGTTATTCGGTAAACAGTGATGAGGGTTGTTACAGGAGGTCGGGGTGGTGGATTTATATTTGGGGGAAGAGGTTGCAAGCCTTTCAAGTTGGGTGGATAAGGCTGTTGGATAGTATGGCTCGGAGCGCGTTCTTGGTTGGGTGGAATAGCTGGAGGTGGTAGAGGGGGCATGGGAAGGTCTTGTTGGAGCAGGGCATTGATTAGAGCTTGGTTCTGCTCGGCAAGGTGGTTAATGTTGTTGGTGAGCTCGGTAAAGTATTGTGGTGGGTTGTTTGGATTAGGAGGATCGAGTTAGTGGTCAGGAACATTGGGGTGGGAAGCCATTGATCTAGTCGTGACCATTCACCTTCGCAGGTGACAGAAAGGGGTTATTGGGAAAGGGCCTCCGGCGACAATGAGCACAACTGGCGCACAGAGTAAGAAAGTTTTCCATAGACGGCGCCAATTGATAATACAGTTTGTGATGGTAGAACAGGTCAGACTGATCTACGCTCCTTAAGCCTAAGTCTGAATGACCAAGCCCACCTGAAGACCTGCACAAGAGTTCAACGGGGAACGGGGAGTTCCCCAGCGAACCCTCCGAGGAACAAGTTAGAAAGAGGAGTGGAGTATATAGCGAGATTAGAGATAGAAAGCTTAATCTTCTTCTTGTCTTCAACGTCTGCTTATATCCTCTGGTAATCATTTCATTGTTCCTTTCGACCTGTCACCTTGGCCGAAAGTCTATACTGTAGCTTACCTTGTTCAGGATGAGGGCGTGATGTCCCGACGGAGAGGGGTTATCGCAATAAATGATGTAAGGGGCCTCATTAATGGCGATGTGGCGTAGCAATAACTTTGCAGATCTTTGTCTGCTAATGTGACTTGCCCTTCTCTTGCCGTGTGTCTTGATGCCATTGGTTCTTATTGCTATGTGGGGCTTCAATGGTGCTGGGCTTCATTAATTGGATTATGTATTAGGCCCTAAGTGGTGGGCTTGGGTTGTTCATAGTGGGCTGTAGCCTTTATGGGTCTACCTATGTCAATACCTGAGTTCTCAAGCCAAGACACTTTGGTTATGACAGACAAGTGACCTATGGCATGAGTCATGGATTTCTTAAATTTCTCAAAAATATAGGTGACGATTCTGAAATCTGGCAATGTAGTTTATTTTTGGCATCTCTGATGATTAATGGATTTTCTAAGATTTGTCGGATTTGGATTCTAATTCATTTTTTAGTTTTACATTACACTTGTGAAATCAAATTTAGAACCACGAGAGTTCGAACTGTAAGACTATCGTACCCGAGAAGACTAAACCTCTCTAAAAAACACAAAAAACCAGCTACACATATCGGTCCTACACTTATAAGTGACATGAATATAAAAAATATTAGAAATCTCAAATATTTTATTAAAATTCTAGCATACAGGTTTGAGTCCCAACACCTATATAAGTATTTGATAAATTTTTTAATAAAATATTTGGAGTCACGCATTGCTCAGCATGAATATGTTTCATAATCTATTATTATTTCATTGGTACGATAAAATCCCATTCCAAACATTGCTGCTAGATAAAAGAAAAAGAAACTATCAACAAAGATAGGCCTCACTCACTTACAAACTATATTTTAAAAAAAAAAAAAAAAGGGAAAGAAAGATGGGGGTATTGTTTGGCCCGTGAAGCTTACCACAAGTTTTGTTTCGATGATTCGAACTGTTCATTTTGTTGGACACTTTACGTATCTTATCTACACAAAAAATTAAGCCAATTCAATAATTATAACTTATTCAATTTATCGCGTTTAGTCTAAAATTTGGATCGGAGGGATCCTCCTCCTTCAAATAAAAAAAAAAGAAAGAAAAGAAAAGAAGAAAAAGACAAAAAAGAAACACATCTTTGTTGTTTTTATTAGAAGTAAAAGCATCAGTAATGACAACTATAAAATAGCATGAATATAAAATTATCAATCAATAACAATTGTAAAATAGCATGAACACAAATTAGTATAAAAGAATCAATCCCCATTTTCCATACACACCAGTATGATCCATTGTTTTGAACCTACATTGATTGAATGTCATTATTTTAGTTGTTTTTGTTTTTGTTTTTACAAAACATTCTCATCCCAACCATCGGGTCACGGTTCTTCAACTGCATAGCAAACCAATGTCCAAACATACTCAGAATGGCAATCTTGCTGCTGCTCACAGCAAAAATTAATTCCAATGTTTGCAAAGTGTCATCAATATCCTCTCTACCAAACCAAAATAAGGTTCTAAATTAAAAAAAAAAAAAAAAAAAACCCTTTGAAATTCCTACACCTTACATTGTTTGGAAAAAAAATAATAATAATAAAAGCAAAAACAAAGTAAAATTTGGTGCTAAGATACATTGAACAAGACAATAATACTAATAAGAAGACACTGATATTCACCTTCTTCTTCTTTTTTCATTTTCTTTTTTCTGTCTTATATTACACCAAGGATCCTCTAGAGTGAAATTTCCCTAAAGTTTCCTAGAGTGCTACATTGTGTGGTTGAGATTTACTGGCAAGTCACATCAGAAAAATTGATGTGACTTGCCAGTAAATCTCAACCACACAGTGTAACACTCTAGGAAACTTTAGGAAAAAATCACTTTAGAGGATCCTTGCTCCTTATATTATTGGTAAAAGTTTATTTGTTGTCATTATTTTCTTAATGTTTATTTGAAAATAACAAAACTAACTATGAATAATATCCAAGGTAAGAAGAAGGCTTACAAAAGAATAAAAAAATAAAAAAAAATACTAAGTTATAGCACTTCTCTAACAGTAATAATAAATAAGAAACAACATATGCGATAATTTTAACCCTAATATGTAGGAAGAAAGAAAGAAAAAAGCACAACAAAATCATATGATTTAAATTTTTTTTTGGGTTTTCTTTTTTAGCAAAAAGAAAGCTTTTAACTCTAAAGTAGGAGGAAAGAAAGAAAGAAGCACAAAATCATACGACAAATTTTTTTATTTTTTATTTTACTAGCAAAAGGAAAATTGATGAAAATCTAATGAACAAACCAAAACACTCAGAAAAACAAAATGACTATTGATTAATAATAATACAATTTTTGATGAGATATAACATAACAACAATTCTCATCTTCTTGCCTCACAACAAATTACACACCCAAAAAAAAAAAAAAAAAAAAAGAAATTCAAAAAATTGCTTTAAATTACATGAATAAACTTCAAAATCTCTCTCTCTACCCAACCAACCCCAGCAATAGTAGATGTGCTCTCTTATCAGATATAGTTTCCTTGATCATCCCTTCGAGGTGACTCGTTTAGGTTAAGTCCTGGACTATCAGCCTCCGCCGCCATCGCCTCCTCACTCTTCTTATTTAGATCAAGAGGCTCCCTCTGCAGCGGTGCCGCCTCATTCTCTCCTGCTGCAGGTTGGTCTCCGGTGGGGTCTACCACCTCTCTTCTTTCTTCTTCATCTTCAACCACTGCTGCTGCAGCGTGGTTGCCGCCTTCCTCCTCCACGTCCTCTTCCTCCTCCAAATCAGCACCATCATGGGGTTGGAGTGGAGGATTCAACAGATACCCCACTCCAGCCTCATAAAATTCGTCTCTGCTAAAAGTTGGCGGGGGATATGCCCCGCGCCATTGACGATTACCATGCGTCCTTAAATGGCCGCATAGTCCTCGGTCAGTGCGGAAACCTCTCCCACATAAATAACAAACATATGGGGCACCACCAGCCACTGCATGCGGTGGTGGTGGTGGTGGTGGTGGTGGTGGAGGGTTGTCTCCAACCGGCCTAGACGGTCCCGCTCCTGGATCACTGAACCTCTTTCTTTGAGCAATCCCACCAGCACCCCCAATTTGTAGCCCCGCCGCTCCAACCACCACACCACCACCACTACCACTACCACTACCACCACCCACATCAAAACCACCCCCACTACCACTATCTAAGCCCCCAAATGTTGGCCTAGACGAAGTAACTCCGAATAATCTAGGCCTCAAGAATTGGGCTCCTCCTTGCCTAGGAACCTGAGGAGGAGAACTGCTGTCTGACGGTCCTTCTCCGGAGATCCTAGGCCTCCGCACTTGGCTGGGGCGGCGAGGAGCCGGGTTTTGGCTGCCTTGAGGGCTTGCGTTTTGGTCGCCGGAGTTCGACATTGTTAATCAAAGAAATGAAGAGAAGAGAAGTGAGAGAGAACACAAATGTGACTTTGCAATGTGTTTAGGGCGTGGTTATCATTGGAAGAGAGGAGGGCTATTTATAGTGGTGGAAAAAAAAATATTTGAAATTTGCAGTCATTCTTACGTCCTAGCCGTTATTTTCCCTCCCAATTCATCTGGGTTATATCTAAGGTTGCGTTGCTTCATTTTGGACCGTCAAGATTTGATTGAATAATTCTAACGTACGGTCCGGAGTGGCTCCTGATTGACAGTAGATGATTCGTTGCATTGTTTTCCATTTTTGGCGTATATTGTAAAAGGCGCGAAAATAAGGATTTAATGCATGGACCTTCTTCAGGAAATAATTTGACAGATGCACCCTAGGTTGCACCATTAACATTTTTACCTATTTAGAAAATCATAATGCTATGGACCCAGACTTATATATATAAAATTTTCTGACCAAGTGTTTGTGCGGTCATGATTGAATTTGTGTAGTGTGTGGGTCTAAGTACAAAATGAATCTACGTTACAGAATGTTGCTTGCGAGGAAACATTAGGGTAAATTTTCTAGGACCATGGCGTTATTGCTAGAAAAATTACCTAAAAAATTTGCTAAAAAACATAAATGAATAGACTATATTAATTGTGGGATAAAATACACTAACCTCACTGGAAATTTGAAAACAATACAATAAATTTTATAATTTTGACATAATTATATTGATTTTCTTTTTAGTAAGATTAAATGAACCAAAACTAATGTAAATGGTGCAAAAACACAAAAATAAGCAATGTAAAATACATTTTTTTGTGTAAAAAAAATGATAACATCATTTTCTCATTTATATTAGTAATAAATTATTGATGAAAATAGGACTAAGTGCTACATGAATTAAAATTGTTAGAATAGTTGAGAGAGAGAATAATATGTATTGTATTGAATGATATATAGAGTTGAATGTATTCTATATAATAGAAGTCATGTATATATAGGCTGAGAAAAAGTATTCTACTAGAAACCTAATTATGAGAAAGAGTATCCTATTAGAAACCTAACTATGGCTATTCCTAAATATATCTAGGAAATCAATACCTAATATATTTAGGAATACCACATATACATTAACATCCCCCCTCAAACTCAAGGAGGATAAACATCTTGAGTTTGGAGAGAGAAACTAAAATATGAAATAAAACTAAATAAAGTAAAAGACAAATAGATTGCAAAGTCTGAACAGGAGCGCAAGGGCGCTTGAGATATATCAGAGGCCGAAACTAAAGTCGGGAGAAAGTTTATGATTGTGTCGGACCGATATAAATACTAGCTGGAATTAATGTCGATAGACAGTTTATGGTCGTGCCGAACCATTGTAGGAACTGGCTGAAACTAATGCTAGGACAGTTTAAGGTTATGTCGAACTGTTGGAGAAACTGGCTGAAACTAATGCCGGGACAGTTTAAGGTCATGCCAAACCGTTGTAGGAGCTAACCGAAATCAATGTCAGGACAGTTTAAAGGGGTCGTGCCGAACCGATGTAGATGCTAACCGGAATCAATGTCGGGATAGTATGAAGGGGTCATGCCGGACCGATGTAGGAGCTAACCGGAATCAATGTTGGGACAATTTAAAAAGGTCATGCCAGACCGATGTAGAAACTAACCGGAAAGTTGAACCAGCAAACGTGACACACACATAACTTATGACGTGGTGCTGAATGATGATGGCAACAGATAACTAAGTGCGCCAGAAGGCGACTTGGATGGTGCGCCAAGGGGCGAGTTTTGTGGTACGCCAAGAGAGGACGGCTTGGATTGTGCCTTTGAGGAAACGGCTTGGATTGTGCGCTAAGGTAACAGCTTAGAGAGTACGCCAAAAGGAGGCGTCTTAGGTGGTTTGCATGGTGTATAATCATGTTCACCATGATATAGGTATAATACCCCCCTCAAACTCAAATAGGTTTGAACATAGAAACTTATTTGAGGTTAAAGTAGAGGGAAAGACAGAGTGGAGCAGAAACACAAAAATATATATATATATATATATATGATAGAGATATTTAGGGTAGGAATAAACCAGGGGATAAAGGAAGAGATCACCATGAAACGATATTGATAGGAAAATATAACAGTGGAATAGGTTGAGGTCTGGCAGGCGGCCAAGGCAAGGTTGCTGCCCGCCAGTAAGGTGAAGAACACCAAGGACTTAACATATAGCTCTGATACCATGTTAGAATAGTTGAGAGAGAGAATAATATGTATTGTATTGAATGATATATAGAGTTGAATATGTTCTATATAATAGAAGGCATGTATATATAGGCTGAGAAAGAGTATCCTACTAGAAACCTAATTATGAGAAAGAGATTGTAGAGTAGAATGTATTCCATACAATAGAAAGCCTGTATATATAGGCTAAGAAAGAGTACCCTATTAGAAACCTAATTATGAGAAAAAGTATCCTATTAGAAACCTAACTATGGCTATTCCTAAATATATCTAGGAAATCAATACCTAATATATTTAGGAATACTACATATACATTACCAAAAATATCAAGGGAATTCAATATAATTATACCAAAATTAAGAAAATTATTGTATCTATTTCAAATCTTAAGCGATATTAGTGTAATTCATATGTAGTTTACATTTTTTTATCAGCAAAAGAACCCTTTATTGATGAAAGAAGAATCAAATACATCAATAAAGATAAAGATAAAGATGGAAAAGCATAGCATCAAAACGAAACAAATTAATCCCAACTAGGTTGACACCATAATAAACACCAAATCACTTGTTATCACTCCATCAGAGTTGGTGAGCGACCAACTAGCACAACAAGCAAATGGCACAAAACAAAATTACAAAACCATCAACCATACTACTGCATAGAAATACCAAGCAACAAACCATAATGCCAACACCAAGAAGGCATCAAATTCATCCAATCTGGAAGCTCCCCTCCATAGTAACCTCTGCAAATATAAATTTAGCAACACTTCATCACTAGTTGAATGCGCTATACAATATCATTAATAGAGTAATCACACCCAATATCATGAGCTTTCACCCAAAGAGCCACTCTGATTTTGATGAAATCAATGAGGACTATAACACTTGTTTGAGTATCAGGGAAAATGCTCTCTTGTTTGAGTATCAGGGAAAATGCAATCGTTTCTAGCTTCCACATAGACTAAAGCACAAATACTGGTAATGCTCACCAAACTGCCTCGCCTTCTTCTTGAACATCCAGCCCATCCACCACTATAATAGACATTAAACCGATCTAGGCAATATCCAATTCAAGCCCTACCAATGAATTATGCTTGACCATACTTGCCACACAAAAAGGCACCATAACATAATATGGTTCACAAATTTAGGCTGTAATTTACATAACACACATGATAAATTCGCATTATTCCTTAGCACCCAAATCCTACTTAAAAAATCAGAAGTTTTAAGTCTACCTTTCCATGCTAGCCACAATAAAAACTTCGCCTTAAAATGAGAGAAATTATTCTAAATTAAGGGTGGGGTGCTTAACTTTGGTCCTAGTGACATTTCACACAATTTATAAGCATTGCATACTTCTGATCTGCCTTCCAAGTTAAAGTGTCCACCTGATTCATAATCAAACATGGCCCTTCATCTAACATATCGTGAAGTCTTGTTAGCTCCTCATCCTCCCAAGTATGCAGAGCTCTCCTAAAATTGAATACCCACCTATTTTGGCTCTCGTTTATTAGATATACTTATTCAACAAAATGTCCTTTTCTATAAATAGATGAAATAACCTAGGGAACTCTGACTTGAAGCATATGTCACCCTTCTAACAATCAAACCAGAACATGATCATATTTCCATTACCAAACTTGACTTCTACATTCTACATATAGAAACTGGAAAACCTTGAATTAGCCTAAGCCACATTCAGAATATCCTCCCAAACATAAGATGTAGAAATAGATTCTGAAAGACAAGGCATCCATCTCCCACCTGAGTATCCATACTTGCCACAAATTGTTAGCTTCCACAATGCTTCATCTTCTTGGGCAAATCTCCACCACTATTTGATCAACATGCATTGGTTAGCAAGCCTAACATTTGGAATGCCTACACCTCCTTGTTTCCCATTTAAAGTAACCAACCTCTTTCTACTTAACCAAGTGGACTTTTCTTCTTGCCTCTGTGTCCTTCTACAAGAAAGAGGCTTGCAATTTATCCAACTCTTTGGCAACACACTTTGGAATTTTAAACAGTGACATGGAATAGGTAGGCAAAGAGGAAATGGTAGGCTTGATATGGGCAACTCTTCCAGCAAAGACAATACTTTCATTTTCCAACCAGTCAGCTTTTTCTTAAATATATCAACCACTGGTTTCCAAGTTTGTTTCCTGTGTGGGTTGGCGTAACAACCCCGATTCGTAATCAATTACTAATCCGTGATTAAGGTTGTTAATCAAGTGTTTAAAATAAATTATGTGTTTATTATGTATTTTGCATGATCTTTGGCTTTCTATCTGTTACTTGTAGAAATATCTGTCTAGAATTCTGCTTTAATATGAAAAATTTGAAAGCCTTATCGGTATCCGAAATCAGAATCGGTTACATGAACACGTTATTTAGAATTTTTAGAGTGTTATGGCAAATTTTATTAGAAATCGATTCAGTCTGATTCATTAAGTTGCGTTTGGTTAGCCTAATGTTCCAATTAATGTATTATTGCATCATAAATATATAAGTGACCCTTAAACTCATTCTTAAGCTCAATTCTCTCATTCCTTAGTGCCAGAGTTCATACATTTTAGAGAGAGAGAGACTCCATTTTAGAGAGAGAAAGTGTGGATTCAAGGTAGAAGTTGAAGATTTTGCTTGAGTTCATTTATATTATGCAATAATCTAATTGATTCAAGACCATAGGTATGAATTCAACCCCCAATTTATGAATCTAAGTTGTCAACATGAAGATTATGTGTTTAAATGTGTACATTG